AATTAAAATTAAAATTGTTATTTTTAGAGAAAAATGGATAGGAAATATAAGTGAAATTTCTCTCATCTTACTTTCTTCCCATTTGATACTGCCCTCCTAAAAGAATTCAGGCCCACAAGCTATGAAAGATATTAATAGTTCTAGTCAGAATATTGAGGTACAAGAAAACCAGTAGTTTATAATGGTCTCATTTATTTTCTGAGCTTCCTTATTCCTTTCAAACATAACAGCAAAGAAGCATTGGATACAGTTAGCTTAGGGATTGTTGTAGTTTGCTGATATTTCAGTTATACATACTTTTTACAGGAATTAATAACAAGCCAATTTGTTTCTACATATGTCAAAAGATATATTTCACAAACCAGCACCACAGACACTTGTTCTGACTTGGATACAACCGAAATCATGCTAGGCTTAGCATCTAACAGATGCTACCTCAGTCCATGAAATCAAGAAAGTAGTGAACCAGATTTTTGTTGGCACAAGTACTGAGAAAATCTTAGATGCATCATTATTTCATGCTTCCCATCACTGAATTTTTTTAATGAAGTTCACAGCCCTTTCTGAGTCAGGAGCTCTGATACATGTTTTTTCTATTTGTGTCAGTTTTCTACTGCCACAAAAGATGTTTGTTTGCTATCCCCCAACTACCTGTCCTAGCCATCTAGTCCTTTACCTATCTCTATCTCTGCCCTCATATGCTTAGATTGAAATAAGAGATGAAGAGATGGTGTGTACTTTAATGAAAAGCAGTTTGGTATTTTTTAGAATACATATTGTAGCTAATGAATTATACAAATACTTGAGTAGTTACCACACAAAAGCCAAGCCCTATTTACTGTTGCTTAAAAGTGCCTTCAGAAAGCCAGAGAGGCAATACTTACTGCAGTGTAGTATCTATGATCTTTACTTAGATATGAAAGTTCTCACAGATTAGATATGTTACAGTTGCATATGATAGCAAATACTGAATTTTTAAATCAATTTTCTTGAGTTTTAATGTCATCCATTGGACGAAACATGATGTGACTACTTTGAACAATGATGACTATTCATAGAGTATTATCCTATCCAGAGAGTAATTTAAATTAACTTTCTTCCATAGCAGAGTATCACGTCCCTTTTAATATGCCCATTCTGAACTATATGCATAGACTCTCGTAATTAATGAAGGCAAATGTGATCTTGAGGAAATGACTAGATGGTGGTTGGCAAAACAAGGTGAAAATATTTTATTGAACTCTTAAATGGGGTGGATGTGCTAAAGATTATGCAGTTCTCTGTTCTTATGCAGATACTATTTAACATTTTCATTAATGAGGTGGCTAATGCAATAGAGAATGCTTCTTTAATGTATAATCCTATGCTGAGAGGAGATTGCAGACACTTTGAAGGGCACGATTAGAACTCAGTATGATTCTTGCAATGATTTAAAGTCAACAAGGATAAATGCTACCCTTAGAAATAATCAACTTCATAGATAGAAGATAAGAAATGATCATTCACTGCTCAAAAGGATTTCTAGTTTACAACCTGAAAATGAGTCATCAGTACCAATACATAGAAAAAAAAAAGAAAACAGGATTTATTAACACTCGTTCTACAGCATCTTTTCACTCTGTTTCTTGACAGCGTCAACTACAGTACTTGGATCTGATTTTGGGCACTGTATTTCAAGAAACACGTGGACTGATTAGAAGGGATTAGAGGGCTAGAAAACATTACTGAAAGGAGAAGATTGAAAGAAGTGAGTCAGTTTAGGGAGGAGATGTCTGAAATGAGTCTTTGAATAGGCAAAATGTTGTTGGAAAGAAAAAGGGAGTAAACGTGACAAATTATTCATGTCTCATTAGGCTAGGAATGGAAATTACGGACTTGAAGAGCAGGAGGGGAGATTTAGGTTAGACGTTCAGGAATAACTGCATTTATAAATTGTATGAATATTGAAGAGCGGGTTAGTCTCCCTTGGGATTTGTGGAACAAGCATCACTTCAGTTCTTTAAAAACAGATCAGATAAATATGTGTCAGGAGTGGTATGGCTAAAGCTTGCTGTGTCTTGGGTCAGACAAACATAGGGACAGAGCAGATACCAGTAGTGGTCTTCCTGCAGAGACCAGAATTCTTCAGTGAGGGACAGGCAATGCTATAAAGAAGATTCAGTAACCTCTATTGAGAATGGGAGAAACATTTGAAATGGAAGATATTTTCTAAGAACTGGGTGAACTGGGGAGTCTCTCCCAGAAGAGGCAATTGATGCATTGCTATGCTGCTTTCTTTATTATTTTGCTTTCCTTTGGAAGGATTTTTGGCATAGAGATGGGAGAGAAAGCAAGAAGAGAAAACTGTTTTTTTTCTTAGGAGGCAAGAGGAAGGAGAGGAATGTGCAGGCATCTGTCTAATTGGCTTGGCCTGCTACACATACATACCAACAGTACATTGGACTTTGATTACTATTTTCTTTTCCTTCTATCATTATTGCAGGAACTCTTAATGCGAGCCCAAACTAATTAGCTAATAAGCAAAGGCTGGAAGTGGCAAATAGTTTTAGAAAACAAGTCTGTTATTATGCCAGTGACATCAAAGAATGGGAGACTAAATTGGGTCCACATTTAGCACATTAAGGCAGCGTTGCTAATCAAGCAAAAGCCTGAATATAGATATTGGTGAACCAAGAAAATATCTTTTTCCAATAAAACTTCTTCCTACATCTTTGAGCTGTTCTGGGGAAAGAACTCTTTTCCTAGTTTAAATTATAACTGCACCGGGAGTAGATGGGTAAGGTTACCAGGTTGGTTAAATATAACTTCCTAATTTAAATATAGCTATATCAGCAAATGTTCAGCTACACACATCTCCTAAATTGTCTTCTGTAGAATAACACTTCCAAAATTCTTCAAAGATAACACATCAACAGAGATCACTTTGACATAAAATCTCACAGGAGAACTGAGAATCTATTTTGGGTTTATAAACTGATTTTTAGATTACACAGATACTGAAGTACCATTTAGAAAATCTTATCAGCAATGATTTCAAAGTTCCAAGAAATGTTATTAAGACAAAGCATAATCACCTGTTCATGTTTTTGTGTGAATTATCAGCAGTCATCTCAATGAAAAAGTATATAATTTTCATTTCTGAAGTGTCAGATGTTAACATGGCATCCCAGAGGCACTCCTAATCTTTCGGATTCCTGGGCTATGAGGATTGAGTCAATTGCACAATTATGTACTAGAATGAGCACCAGTGAAGCAGTGAGTTACCGTGTAATTTTTAACCATAGAAATAATCGGAGGCCTTTACATTAAATTCTGTTTGAAAAGAGAAAGCTCTGCTTTCTCCATGCAAAGAGAGAATAGTATCAACACAGAACATAGATAGCCTTCTTCATTTGGAGATAATGAAGTGCTAGGTAGATCTTGGGAAGGGCTGTAATCCCCTGTTTACAGGTAAAGAAACTGAGGCATAAAACAACTAAGGCATCCTTTAATATCTATAGGACTTAATTACCTGAATATCAGCCAAGTGTCTAAATGCCCTTCAGGATGTGTGTCTAAATGACTTCCCAACTTCAATTTAAATACAGCACACTCTATTTTTTTCTATTGCACTGGCAAGCTAAAAATCAAATATAGCGTGTAACTCGGGGAAAAGGAAGGGACTTAAATTAATGATATGCTGAAGGAACCTTAAAATGGGTTACAAGTATCCTGATCTTGCTGAGAGGGCTTCATGACTACAGATATGCTACACTTGAGGTGAAAGTGATTGTGCTGCTGGTGCGACAGGGTGTAAGGTTATTATGCATGTTCCTCAGTGAACATGCATAACAGATGGATAATCGTTATTATAGCCTTCTTAAAATAGGTAAACCACTACTCTCATCACACACAAAGTCTATGGCAAAACCCAAGACTTTTCAGCACCCTTATTTCTCCTTGGTCACAAGATCAATGTCCTTTATGCAGAGTAAAATATGCTATGACATTTTCATTTATGCATGATTCTCTGTGTGAGAAGGAAAGTTTCTTCCTAACTCAGCTGAAGCGCCAAAACTCATAGACTTGCTGGATTTAAGGATCTTATATACTTCAGCTGATCACTTTTAACTTATTGTTATCTACTTAGATAATAAATAGGACAGGACTTCTCAAAACTCCATATTCTAACATTGCTTTATTTCTTGAACTGCCAGAGGAATATGAAAATAACAGACTCACTTTGCTTTGTCTCCATACAGTGACAGTCCTTGCTATTTTCCATGAGCTGCATGTGGATACAGATTTGTACACACTCCTGTTTGGAGAGAGTGTCCTAAATGATGCTGTGGCTATCGTGCTGACGTAGTAAGTAAACCCACTTCCATTTTTTACTTGGTGAGATAATTACAAGCTTTAATTGCTGATATAATTCTCACTGATACAGTTTGTGCAAGTATAGATACAACATTTGAAGATTTCGTTACAGAGATGTAGTTCTGGAGTTGTTCTTCATTTGTTAAACACTAGAATGCCAATATTGGTAATGGTAACTGTGTATCCAGAGTGCAATTTTAGTTCATTTTCTTCAACCTAGAAAGCAGTATATTCTGTAAAATGTGTAAATTTAATTTAATATTACTTCTTGTCTCATCTAAACAAGATATCTTGAAAAAAAATGCTGAATGGGCACCTAGGACATAGGGCAACTATAAAATTGGAGACAGGTTCTCTTTATTTTTTGCAATCTATTGTTTTCCAAGATTAAAACCACAAAGTGGTACACAGTAGCTCAGTTTATGTACTTCTGCCTATTGAATCTGACAGAGCTTCAGCTGATAATATTATCTTAAATTTATCTGTAGCCTTCTTATTCTCAGGAATCCTCAAACAGATCACAAATGTTAGGCCAAAAGTATGTGCTGTCCTAAAAACACAGATGCTAAGTACATGGTTAACAGGATCTCAGGTTAACTCTGCTCTACATGTATTATGTGCTTCCTGGAGCTTTGCTAGAAATACAAATAATCCTCTCTGGTAATCTTAAAAGTAACAGAACTCCGCAAAATCAAATTCAGTTTTTCCAGGATGTTTGAAGATGCTTCACAGTAAACCCCAATTCAGTGCCAACTTTCTCCTTAAAATACAGTTCCTTGAACTAGGATTTATCCTGTCCTTCAGAAAAGGACTTTTACAGAGTTTACAGTCATTAAAAAATGAGCTTTATATTTTGTCTGAAACTCTATGGAGAAGCTTATAATAGTTGAATTGCAAAAAAAACCCAAACACAATTGTTTCACAATACAAAAAGATAGTATTCCTATTTAATTATCATTCTCAGTCAATTATCTTCTAGTTACATTCACCTACACTAAACTCCTCACATTGTTTTTAGAGCAAGAGTAATATTTTCAAATGCTGTCAAGTGTCTGAGCATAGCATTTCATGATTAGATACAGCATGGCTGTCACATTCAGTGATGTGGTTGGAATGTGTCACTTAGCAGAGCATCTAGTACATCAGAGAATACAATGCGCAAAAGGAAAACTAAGCAAAGAATAGAAACCTCAGTAGAGAGAACAGGTAGAAAAGCATTAAAGCAGCTATTAGAATTGGAAAGAAACGCGCAGGTGACAGAAAGTCTGAGATTTTTTTCTCTCTTGGCTTTGTTTAATAAAGGCCTAAACATTTATAGCTCATTTAGACTCTTCATCTGTTAGTGCAAGGTTCCTATAGACTGTGGAACAGGTAGGCTACAAGCAACTCAAGGAGACCTAAAATGTTCTACGTGTGTGTAGTTTTCAGTCACTGTGATGTCAAAGCACATGGATCTCTTCAAAGGTGCAACTCAACTGCAAAGCAAATATTGAAAGAAAAGTACCATCAGATAGTACACGATTCATGAGTTTCTAACCTCTACTCTTCCCAGTACTCAAGGCTAGGTTATGACACTCAGCCTACGCATGGGTACAGAAATCTGTAGGAACGATGCCTGATGCAAATGCTGGCTAACTCCTCCTCAGGTTTTCTTTGCTGTACATGGGAGATTACAACTCTTTTTTTACTATAGAATCTCTTGTCACTGGAAAACTAGTGTATTTTTCTATATATTCAGTGTGAATGGTACCTTGTTTTCTGTAATGTATTTGGTCATTTGTAGAGACTGAAGAGAATATACAACATCATCAGTTTCACATTTCATTAATTTGTGGCTTAAATAATCAGCTTCTCCACAAATACAATGCTTCTGCAACCTAACATGATCTTCATTCCTGTAGCCTTTTAAGTAAAGTTATACTGTTAATAATGTCAGCTTCAGTGCATTAACACCCCACTAAAACAAAACAAGTTTAAATGAAGAATATTATTTTTCTGTCACTACAAAAGAACAGCTAGTTTTTTTCCCCGTAACACATACTACTTTTCAGGATGGTGCAAACAGAGCATGTTCATAATTACAGGAATAGGGGACTATTTAAAAAGGTGTGAGAATAACGTTCACAAATCTGGAAAAGCAATAATAAGTCATTTTGTACACTATGTAATGCTAAACAGAAAAAAGAATAAGGGAATGCACAGTGTCTTTCATGAACTAACAGAATAACGAAGTTAATGTCTGCAGGAGTGACTCACTGCAGGAAAGGGAGGAAGAGAAAAGAGGGGAGGCCCTTATGGCTGGCTGTGGCAGTTTGGCAAGGTGAGGGTGGTACGGGTCTCTGCCAACAAGGCTTTATCATAGTATCATAGAAAAGTTTGGGTTTGGAAGGGACCGTTAAAGGTCGTTATATTGATATCTCTTCCTTCAGCTTCTCCCTCCAACCTCTATTTTTCCTGTGCTGTTTATCATTTAGTTTAAGGACAGCAGCAGGACCAGCCACCCCTACTTTTTTTCATAGGGATTTAATAAGTCACATGAGCTGTGTGTTGCTGCAGCGGTATGTACAGACACTGTGGCCAGCTGCCCTCAGAAAATACTGATCACGCACACAAGTTCTCCAGGCCAAATTAGCAACTCTCCTATAGGCCATCTTGCCATACCAAACACCTGGGTGTTTGTGATAATTGCAAGATTTCATTTATGCTGTGCTATTTTAAGATAATCCGTGCAGGAGGGATCACTGTGAATCAAATTGACAGTAGTGGCTGCAGAATTGCTGACAAGCTGTTGTGCATCTGGGAGAGCTCATACACACAAGGGCCTCTATAAGCAAGGGTACTGCAGATGTAACAAGGATTTTCTCCTATATAAGTAACTTGCAGAGTTGCTTACAACTTTTCCTTATTAGGACAAAAGTCTCCTTTTATTAAAAAGTCGGTGAAAATTCTCACAGAAAATAAACATTTTGGAAGAAAACAAGGATTTAAATATTCAAAATGAGTAATATTTAAGCCTGTTTGATATCAAGGATTCAAGGTATTTAAGAAAAATAGTAACAGAGCCCTACAAGACAATACTTATTAGATGACTAAACATGTCTGCTTTTACCCAGAAAAACCCGTATGACTTATTATGTACAACTATTTCCTACGTACTCTGTTTTCCAGGAAATCGACTTGGCACCTGTGTCCGCTTTCTATGTCTATTTACAGCATAAGCTCTCTCTGTAGAAGTATTTTATATATGCTAACATTAAAACAAACAAATAAAACATATGTAGGAAAAATAAGATACTTGAGCTTCTTCTGAGTGTGTTTAAATATGCTTATAGTCTTTTGATTAGAGATTGTTACACTATTTGGAATTTAATTTTAGACAACAGATTGTGGCAACCTTTTATGAGAAGATCTTTCCAATCATGTTTTTATTACAATTTTTAAGAAAGAAATAATTCTCGGTTCTTCAGATGCATTGTATTTCATCACCAAGAAGTTTACCTGAGTTTATTCTGTAGCTTCCAGAATGAGGGAGTATCATTTAAGATTACGTTTCGTGTATTGCTGTATGATAATATATACTGCATAGAATGACTTTTTTGCTTTCTTGGGGGTTGGTCTATGATGTAGCGAGCATTTTCATAAAATGTGTCAGATTATAGCTTTTTACCACTGTTGGTATCCTCTAACTCCTGGGTTTTCAACTTCTTTAGCTTTTTTGCAAAAATATTAACAACAAAATTTAGCTTACAAATATTCCAGCACATATAAATCTGTTCTCTTAGCTATAAATGTAGGCTTCTGCCATCCAGTTCCCTGAACATCATAAAGCAGCAGCTTATTCAGCTTTGGATATGCATAGGCATTCGTGCTATAGGACACAACATTCAGGGTGATCTATTTCATTCATAGATTTCAGACCTGGGAATGTTTGTTGTTGCTTAGGTTTGTACATAGTACTTTACAGACAAATGCAGTGGACTGTCTGTGTACTTAGGCACTTACTAGCTGTGGACCACATTGTAAAGATCAAAATTGAGAAACATCCCAGTAACTTCAGTTGGAGTTGTGCGTGATGAAGACTGTAGTATCTGGCCGATAATTAATAATTTATGGATATTTTTGAGCAAATAAGATTAACCTCTGATTTCACTTCCATTCCTTTTTCATTGTTCTGTCTTCATATGATATATCACTTGTTGAAGAAAACATCTGCGTATATTTTGGGTGCACATGCTGTAGGTTTGGACTTGGCATAGTTTTTGCACATTTGCAGAGAAATTTGATGAAGAAAGTGTGGAAGAAGTTGTAGAAAAAGCACTGAATAGCTTGAGATGTGACTGAAAAGTAGCTGAACGGGTCATTAGCATTGAGACAGTATATTTAGCAGAGCTATTTAATCTTTCTCATGCTGAGTGCTCAGTGAGTGCAGGATGTGGAAAGCAGTAATGAATACTGATACGTGTTCCCTGCTAACAAATTATCTAAGAGAACATTACACGAGAGATGTTTCCATTGTAGTCAATGTCAGAAGTGTTTGTATCATCATTATGCGAAAGACATGACTTAATTTCTCTGCTGGCTCTGTACCATTGCTCAGTGGGCCTGATGAGTTTCACCCCCTTCCTAGAAGAGGTGATAGAGTGGAAGTCACATGGGCAGCAGGGACATCAACATATGGCAGTGTCTTCCACAAGTAATCAAAACGAGTGAGTGGTAGCCAGGGGACACAGGACAGGTGACATTGTGACACATGTGACATGTGGCAAGGAATGGATTTAGTAGCTCTGTTATATGCAATCAAGAACAGTTTGATACTTGAATGAAGTGGAAATTCTGGAGATAAAAAGCGTGGTTGAGAATCACATGTCAGTGAAGCCAGAGAACACAGGAACTAGCTGACATGAAATGAAGACTTCCCATGTCAAAATGCTGATTGCCCTAGAAGGCTTAGAAGTATAGATATTTCTGGGCAGAGGAAAGTAATACTGCAA